TTGCGGGGACGCCGCCCGCCCGCCCGGGGCGCGGCGGGAGCGGCCCGGCTGCACCCCCGCCACCGCCCCCAAGGGCGGCCGCCACCCTCAGCGCCCCCTTTCCCCGCAGCAGCAGCCCCTCTCGGGCGAGCCGAGTCCGGCTGCCCGCTGACAGGAGGCAGGCGATAACGGCGAGAGGCGGGAAAGGTGGGGGCGGCGCGCAGGGGCCGACGGGCGCTGTAGTTCTCCCCGGGCGGGGGACAGCCCGCTGGTCGTCGGGCTTCGCCAGCGAAACCGAGCCAAGCCGGCAGCCTGCGTGCTCCAAGCTGCCGTGCCCCCAACGCCCGGGGCTGCCAAGTGCCACCGTTCGCGTTTGAGAGGCTGAGAGGGGGCTTGTGCTGCCCTTCAGGTGCGCTGCCCGCAAGTCGAGGTGGCCCCAGAGCATGATGAACGACGGGCTTAAATTCATACCCTCCGCCATCAGGGCTGCTCCTCCCTGACAGCTTGGCCCCCCAGCCGCTCCTGGTCCTCCTACCCCATGCGGAGCACCACCTCTGCTCTGCCAGGGCTGGCTCCGGCCCCGCTGGCCGCCATGTACAGCGGCGAAGGGGTGGAAAATGGTGCCGTTCTGGACAGGCCGTGCAGGCGCATTCCTCTCAGGGCAGGCAACAAGGAGGTGGGCTGCTGGGCCAGAGGGCTCTCCTACACCGCGCATCTCAAAGGAGTTAAACAGCGCTGTCTGTTTTCACTCTCTGGGATGGATGTACAGTTCTCAATATTGTCAGCTGTGGAACAGATGTTATTAATCAACAGGATAAGCAGATATAACTGCAAATAACCCTTCATCAGCTCATCTGCAAGTGACTGAGGGGAATCCCTACAGCCCTCATCAGCTTTTGGGTCTGTGAGGACGTGGCCTGTCTTTATTTAAAGACTCAGAACCACATAGCTGGCAGCCTTATACACGTTACTAGTTGTAACTCTCATCCTCTTACGTCCCTACACACAGCCAGATGGTTACTCATTCCCTCTAACTAAACACTCACTTCCTGCTGTTCCACCCCAATGGTGAAGTGTGTGGTGTCAGGCTTCTTCACACCTTTGCATCACCACCGCCTGCAGTGAATTTTCACCTTCCAGACTGAGCCCTGACCTTGACTCACTGTCAAATATGTCCTTACAGCTTTCTTTACATTTTAATATTGATCATTTATTTTGGAATCCTGCAGGTCTCATGGAAGAGCCATAAAAAAATAATCAGGATGCTCAGTGCTCATTTTGAGCTTGATTTATATCTTGGGGAAGTCACTGGGAGGCTTTCCACTGACTTCACTGTCCTCTGGAATGGAGCTCAATATCAGCAATATAAAGCCCAATCCTGTAATGGGAATTCAGGTACCAATCTTGCAAAGATTTATAACTATGCATTACTTTGCTTTCATGAGAGTGCTTGTTCAAAAGAGTAAACTTCATCGGAGTAAACTTAGGTACAAAGGTTAAGATTGGATGGCTTCAGTGCTCCTGTCTTCATTCGAGCGCAACTCTTACTGTGGGAACCACAAACCAGTGACCAACATATGTTTACTGGTTAATTGCTGATGAATGACCAGCAAAAGGAGCAAAGGAGGCAAAGTTTTTTTGTGTTGGTTTGTAAGGTAACTCCAAGCGACTTGTTAAAATTCTGTGATAGGTGAGTAATTATAGGAATTTGCTAGAAAATCCCCATTACCTTACTCAGTGAATTTCACTCACACTGCAGGATTATTTCTGACAACATATTTTCCTGTGTTTCTCTAAGTTTTCTTTAAAAGATGGTGATGTCTACTTCCCACTTACTTCCCTATTTACTCCCTAGGAGAAAATATTGGTTTTAATATTCTAGTTTGGGCATACTTCTATTATATGAAATGACTAGAACCAGGGCAACTCGTTGCAGCTGGTTGTATTTGATTCTCACACGGCATTAATATATAGCGTTAAATGATAATAACTCCTGCCTTCTAATATATTTCTTAAATACAGCAAAACGGAAAAAAAGATAGCAAAGTGTGATTCTGAAGGGTGCTGAATATCTTTAACTCTCACTAAACAGAAGATGGGGATGCTCCTACCTCTCAGAGACAGCCTTGACACATAACCGATAACCTAGAGAAACCATGTAGCAATGGCACTAACTTGAAAAAGCATGAGATGTAAATAAGAAAGTTAAGAAATTCTAGTGGGACTGTAAAAACTGTAACTAAGGTATTTTTAAGGTTGTTTCCTCTCCTTGTAAGAGTCCTCTACTTTATCAGCTCCTCCAAAAGCCACAAATATAGTTTCCTTTCCCATCTGGAAAACAAACAACTTTCATTCCAGTTCACTTGAGAGTGTTACTGAGCTGCATAAATTCTCAAAAGCTATGGGAAAAAAGGGGTGGTAGGAAAGGTAAAACCAGGTAAAAACAGCACCCGTTAGAAGAATCCAAACCCACTGCTCCATTTCAAATGCCCCAAACTTATCCCCAGCCAGCCAAGCCCATGTACATTTTTCTTTTCATTGTTTTTAGAGTCTCCCTTTATGTTCCTGTAGCGCTTGGATGAGTAGACTCCTACAGCTTGAACTTCAAAACAGAGCCTGAGCAGCCAAACTCATGGCCAGAGTTGATAGACTCAAATTAAGCTAAAGTGTCAGAGCTCATGGAGATCTTCCATCCACCACGCTTGACACAGCTGCTAGCCAACACTTCAGCATCCTTATTCCACACACATTTAGAGACACCATCAAAGACAGAGCAGGGGGCTTCCTGCCTGCATTCAACTACTTGACAATGAATCATAGAATCATAGAATGCTTTGGGATGGAAGGGAGCTTTAAAGGTCATCTAGTCCACCCCCCCTGCAATTGGCAGGGACATCTACAACTAGATCAGGTTGCTCAGAGCCCCACCCAGCCTGGCCTTGACTGTTTCCAAGGATGGGGCATCTACCACCTCTCTGGGCAACCCATTCCAGTGTTTCACCACCCTCACTGTAAAAAATTTCTTCCTTATATCTAGTCTGAATCTACTCTCTTTTAGTTTAAAACCATTACCCCTTGCCCTATCGCTATTGGCCCTGCTAAAAAGTCTGTCCCCATCTTTCTTACAAGCCCCCTTTAAGTATTGAAAGGCTGCAATAAGGTCTTCCCACAGCCTTCTCTTCTCCAGGCTGAACAACCCCAGCTAATAGGCAGCAACTTAAGAATGCAGCAACTTAATTAAAGTGTCCTTTCAAACACCCTTTGAAACAGATTTTGAACAATCTCAAGAGGTATTTCAATGAATTTTCTTGTAATTCTCAATTTTTGTAGGTAAATTTGTAATATTTTGGGCTAAAAATCTTGCACCTATAACTTCTCAGTATCAACTTTGATGTAGCATGGGCATTGAGAATCCGGGCAGCTGGATTCATTTCTCTCTTTTGCTAGGGTTTCCATACACACAAAGAAGCCAGTTCTGTCATGGAAGTAATCCAGAAAGTCAGGAAAAAGAAATATTACACTGAGAAGTTGAAGATTTCAAAACGGCCTCCTACTTTACATGGCTCCTAAGCAGAGAACTATTACTCTGTGGGGGGTAAAACCTATCGGACATCGTCATGTCACATTTTGCACTTTCAGGTGGTGTACAGGTTAGGACTGGCCATCACCCTCCCTCCTGCAGCCGCTGCTGATAAATGTCCTGAGGCCATGCCTTTAACTCCATTTCTGTTGTACAGTTCTAGAGGCTTGAACGCCAAATGGTGCAAACATTTAGTTAAGTAGAAGAAATGTAATAAATTAAAATGAAAAACATCGTTAAAATGATTTATGAGCAGTTTTCCATGTTTACAGGAGGTGCAGACTGGAGTTGAAAATGTGAATTTCTAGGGGGCAGGGGGTAGTTTCTAAAGATTTCCTGGTAAGAATGAGTCATTGTTATGCCAGATCTTCACGGAAGATTAAACAGAACTTTGCTGCTGCTAAGGTAACAAAGAACACACAAAACCAAGGCTTGCGAATATGTGAAAACAGAAGTATAAAAGTACAACCTTGGACAAAGAAGATTCTAATTATGATGAAAGGGTATTTGTATAGCAAGATGTAACAGGTATAGGAGAAAAATCCTGGAGAAATGGAGTATTATATTCAGAACTGAAAAAGTGATTAAGATGGCTCCATCTCTCACCTGAAAGGAGCAGTCTGTCGGAGGTATTTTAGAAGTTTTCTGGTCTATGAGTTGTTGGTACCCATCAGTTATTTCTCTGGTTCTGTGAAAGTTTGCTAAGAAGTAGTAAATTCACATAGACTCTGCAACAATCCACATACTGGCAATTTCTAAAGGGGTATTTAGCACTTTTAAAAAATTCTAAGTATCAAAAGATGTTGAAAATTACTGGTTTAGAGTGTCATTAAAAGCTCTGACAGTCCCGAGCAATCTTCCTTGGTAGAAATGTGACTACCATGCCAGGGAGCCGCAAAAGGAGAAGGTAAATAGCAGAGAAAACAGGATACTCCAGCTGCAATAGAGCTACGGAGTATCATCAGCTCATCTCACACTGCAAACCCCAAGAGAAAGTAGATAACTTAAAGGCTCTAAAACATACAAAATGGCCAAAGTAATGTGATGTAAGGGAACGGGATTGTTCCACTTGTTGAGTGATGGCACTCCATGTGGTGGCTGATAGCCTCTTGGCTAGACGCAGCTTGGAAGCATATGAGATAATGCTGTTTGGAGCCTGATTCTCCACATAGGTCCTAGAAGCCACTGTATTTTTAAGGTATCGTTTTAATCACACAAGGAACCTCCAGGGTACACTCTCTCAGTTGTGCATTAATGCCTGCAGTCACGGGTTGTGCATAATATTATGACTCCTGCTCTGCATGCACAACAGGTCAAGCAGCTCCTAGTCGAGATCACCCTATTCCTTACAAAAATGGCTGCAGAGGTTTTGTAAATCATGCCAGGGTGTCCCAATAGCAAACTGAGTTTCGTGCAGGACTCTGTTTTTTCCGGAACCGTGACTGTGGCCAGAGGTTTACATTCAGAGCATTTCACAGCTTTCCTCCCCACCCCGGTCAGATTTTAGAGATAATATCCCAAGATAAAGCTTTTTCTCTTTTGACTTGACTTACTCTGAAACTACTGCAAAGTGCAGGTGTTAAAACAGGCTCTTGGGAAGAGACAGAGCTGGAACAGTTTTGAGAAAGGTTTTGATTCTTGCATTCACAGATTTGTGGCATGTTGAGGAAAGCAGAAAGGTACAGCTGTTCTTTGTACCATCTCTTTATAACCGACAGAAAACAAAAAAAAAACCCAAAAAACCCCCCCAAAACCCCCCAAAAAACACAGAGAGCTGAGTAAACCTTCCTTCATGCCATTTAAATCTAAATATACTTAGATAATTCCAAAGCTATGTAAGAGTCCATTCTTCGCAGCTGCTGTCCTTTAGTTGAAGTCCCAATCTGGTGCCCTTTAGTTGA